ATGAATCTACCATTTGACCCAGTTATACCACTCCTTGGCATATACCCAAAGAACTCATCCTACTGTAGAGACACTTGTTCATCCATATTTGTTGTTTCTCTTATTGTATTTTTTTCCAGAGAAAAAAGGTTTTTAGGTCTGTAATCCCCATCACCATTTTCAATGTGCTTTTACCTTAACTAAGAGATTTATGTCCTCTGGAGACAGCAGTGAAGACGGGCCCTGTTGAGAAGAAATAAATTCAGACATGTATGCAGAACATATTATCTTCCATGCATCCTCAGGGTGAATGGCTCCATCCTGCAGGCTGCAACTCACAATTTGCATATGTATGGGCTGCAAACAGCTCTATCCATGGCCGAGGCCTGGGAGTCACCAAAGGGGACTGCAAAGCAGTGGCCTCTCAGCCAAATCTGAAGTTCGGCCTTGCCATCTGGTCTCCTTATGCAGGCCTGGGTGTTCTCCTGTGCTTGCCCCTCCCCACCCTCATCAAGACCTAGTCTGTCACACGGATAGCACGGGAGGGAAGTTGGCCTGCAATTCAGATGCCAGGAATTTCCGAGATGGACAACAGCGACTGCTGTCAATAATTCATTGCCTAGTATGAACTTAAACCAATGTCCTCAGTTCTCATAGGTGAAGCAGTATTTTAAATCTCATCTGCTATTTTGGGCTAAAAGCCTTTAGTACTAGAAATGGGATTACAGATATCAGGAGGCACTACAACGTGTTTGGGGGTATGTGGGTAAGTTGCTGAAAGTCACTGAATTTACAAATTCGTTCGGTTGAAACATGTCCTGTGATGACTATGACCATCCTTAAGCCCTGGGCAGGGTGAGAGCTCAGTTCACATTGGGTGCAAGGAACATGGGATGAAAAATGGAAACAAGTCAATTGTTACCAAGAAGAAGGATCCTTAGCATAAATTAGGGGTGGCAGCTCCACTGCAAGCTTCAAACTGTGCTGTGAGAAGAGGCACGGAAGCCCTCTCCCCAGAGGAGGCCATGGATCCCACCCTCCAGCATCGGGGGCTTGGAACACTACATTTGCAGCAGTGACTCTCGAGGAGACAGCAGTCAAGACAATTTTTCTAGCAACTTCCACTTTCCTGAAAGTTCTTTCCCTTTTCCCAAACCTACAGGCTTTCTGTCATGTGCAACTGACAAGCAACCTGACCATGCTGGCACATGTTTGCATGAGATAACTGAGGTAGTGGCTGGAGGCATCGATGCTATTTTCTGAGCTGATATGCTCAGAAACTTTATCAACTTTCTGGGAAAGTGCAGAGGGGTAGAGTGAGACTGAGGCTAGAGTACCCCAGATTTGGAGGCAGTGGATTCACCGGTATAGCATGAGAATTACACTTAGTATGCCCTTGCTAAAGACAGGTCTGAGACCCCCACCCAGACATCCAAGTGAGATCCTCTGGAGAAAGACTGACCTTTCTAACAGCAGTTTATTAACCTTTAATTTAAATGGGGAAAGGTTTTGTATATTTTGAAGTCTTGTGTATTTTCTGAGGTCATAATAGTTTGGGAGTTCATATTGCTTCCATGGGGATTTCTTAGGCAGCTGGGACCATACTGTCTGTGACATCTTACCCTGATTTTTGAACTCTTTGAATATCAAAATATTTAAATATATCTAGAGTGAGCTCTCTTAGCATACCTGCATTACATCACAGAGGGAGAGAGAGCAAAGGCTGAGTAAAGTTCACGGGGTGGCCTTGTGATGACGTCACCAGGGCTTTGCTCAGCCCACTTCTTGTAGACCTCATAAGAGGTCTGAAGGGGTCATGAGGACAGGGGACAGGAGATGCTCATCATGCCACCATGGCTGCCTCCCAGGAAGAGTTCGCATGCTATAGATTAGGCCCAGCGTCATGGTAGCACACGTTGGGAGATGTTAGGGTAGAGAAGTCACAGTCGATGCCCACCCGGAACTGCCCCCCTCTTGGCACACCAGCCACAGCTGCTGAGAACATTAGCTGGAAATCCTGGGGAAGCCACACTGCCCATGACTGACACGGGGATGCAGAGGGCAGGCCTTGTCCAAAGTTGAGACAGCCCACTGGGACACTAGCCAAGGCGCAGCTGAGATGGAGCTCTCTGTTCTGTGGTAATCAACTGTGAGACTCAAACTCCCCACAGTCTGCTGGCCTCCCTTTGCTAGCTTAAATGTCTTTGCAGGGTGGTGTCAAGATCTAGCGTGCGGAAGGCGTCAGTCAAGCTTTCCTTGACTCTGGCCTGAGTCTACTCTTCACCTGGTTCCTGTTGGCCTGGCCTTGAATGACGATCGTTTTTAAACAGCTTCTTTGGCAGTTATAAGCCACTCCATGGAGGACAAGAGGAAAACTAGCCTCCAGTCTCCAATATGACTTGTACTCATTTACCTGGAAAGTCTAAGCTTCACAATTCTCAGAGGGACAATGAGAACATTCTTCTGCTCCCTGTTGGGTCCACCAGCTCAGACAAGAGAGAGAGGGTTTTCTGAGTCCACAAGGGCCTCTGTATACTGGGTACTTGACTGAAACCAGGCCAGGCTCACAAGGGGGACAAGCAATCCTTCAGACCCATCCTGAGGTGTAACTTCTGTCCCGGTGAACAGCTTAGTTCACAGCAGACTCTGGACTCACTCTGGAGGCCCGAGACGCCTGTCTGATGGTCACTGTCTTTTGGCCCTAGTTAGCATCTTCTAATGGTCTGACTCGTCTGTTATCTGCATAGCTGCTTCACCCAAACCCCAGGTCTGCTAGACCATGTAGTCCCTTCCCTGGAGGACATATGACCTGGTTACCTGGCTAGTCCCTTCCCTGGAGGGGCACACATGACCTGGTCACCCAGCTAGTCCCCTTCCTGGAGGGGCACACATGACCTGCTCACCTGGTTATTCCCTTCCCTGGAGGGGCACACATGACTTGGTCACCTGGCTAAACCTTTGGTGCCTCTCTGGCATTGGCAGTCAGAGAACAGCCTGGAAATGAGATGAGCCACCCCAGCGACACCTGTAGGCCATCCAGCTGGCCTGTGCCCACACTGATAAGGACCCAGCCATCAGGGCTGCCAACATCTTTTCAAGCTCTGACAGCTTCTCATTTGAGACAAGAACTGTTTCTGGAACTCTAAACAGATCCATCTGGCAACCCAGCCAAAGAGTAGGAAATGAGCAAGGTGGATTTTTGATGGCTGGGACTATTGTCCAATTTCTACCCTAGTTCCAAGTTTCGTCATTCTCTGTCCTGTTGCATGATTCCATGTGTCCACAGGATGCACCAGGACCAACCTAACTGCCAGCCTATGGCTGCACTAATCCAAAGGGAGGCATCTTAGGAAACTGTAAGGTAAAGAGTCTGCCTCAGGCCAGGCTTTCTGGCAATGGCTTTGAATCCACAGCTCTTGTCTGGGTCTGAAAACAAGTGTTCTGGTAGAAACAGCTCCCCTCGAGGGTGTATCCCCGGGTCTCACCAAACACTGCATTGCTCTCCCCTGCCCACAGTTTATCCCCTTTTTAAAACCTCTTGAACCATCTGAATTTCACTTTATTTCTCGCTGGTACCCTGACTGACAGTCAGCATTCATCCAGACCTGACAGGTTACATACTGGTTTTCCAGGAGGCCCTCTTTCTCCTGGATTTCCTGGGGCGCCCTAAGAAAGAAACCAAAGAAAAGAATCACTGCGGTATCTTTGCCATTCTGATCCACTCCACCCACCCCAGGTGGAGGAGGAATTAGAGCAACGCAGAATGGTGTGTGTGTGTGCGTGCGTGTGTGTGTAACCAGTTAGTACTGCTGCTTTTAGGTGCCAGGCATCTTTGTTGTACAAGAACCCGTGGTTGCCAGTTATTCATTCGGTGAGTGGGGATTAAGTACCCTTTGTACCTCCTTTGCTGGTGAGCATCAGGGACTTACCGATGCTAAAGCCCCATGGAACTCAGAGCTGACTAAGCAAAAGTCAGAAAGGGAATACTAAAGATGACTAAAGCATCACAGAAGGACGGACCAAGAGGCTCAGCTGTGCCTCTCTAGTCGCCTTGAGGAGAAAGACATTCAGGACAGGGCCAGGACGAAGTCCAGGGGAGCCGTTAGATTCGATTTGATCAAACAGAATGACCAAAAAGGAGACAGTATGTTGGAGAGCCAGAAGGTTTAAAGGCTCTGGAAGCACTACACAAACACGACAGAAATCTGATAAGATAAACTATAACCCACGATCCACAGAAAAGGAGAAATATGTAAATAAACACCCTGAGGTGTAGAAATCCTTAAGGGAGCCGGGATGCTGCTGCTGATGAACACTTACTAAGTCCATGGATTATTTTTCTTCACTTACATCCTGACCAGCTGGTCCCTGGGGGCCCGGAAATCCAGGTAAGCCTCGAGATCCCTGATAAAAAAGAAAAGAAGACATGCTCATCCGTGAGAAAGCAGGACCTGCATTATCTGGCCATAGTTGTCTACGATTACACAGATGCAGTTACAATGAGGAATTTAACGTGACCGTGATGGTTAGTACTAGTTGTCACTAACTGTCAGGCTCTAGAATCATCCAGGCATGTCTGTGGGGGCTTATGTTGATTATGTTGACTGATATCTGAAAGAATCCATCTTAAGCATGGCAGGGGAACCTGGACTGTAGAAAATGGAACAGGTCTGCGGGACACCAGCACTCGTGTCTGTTCCTGACCGTGGACACGGTGTGACCAGCTGCTTCTCTCCAGCTGCCTTCCCTGCTCTGATGGACTGTACCTTGATCTGTGAACTGAAGTAAACCTGTCCTTCCTTAAGTTGCTCTTGTCAGTATTTTATCACAGCAGCAAAAAATTAAGTGAAGAATGCACGAGTCAAAAGAACCCTACTCAGAGCTCATGGAGTTGACATGCTCTGTGGAGACGGATGTGCTCTGCGTGCAGAGGGGAGCTCAGGAAAGCCTTCACTAAGAGCCTGACCTCCCAGCCCCATGCACAGGCCCCTAGCTGGGGTGGAAGGCACAGCTCCCGTGATGAACCAGGCCTGAGCACTGACCTGGGCTATCCTCCTATGTGTCTTGATGACATCCAACCCCACAAGCTGCTAATTGTTTAGATAAATTTCCTTGCACAAGGCCCAGAAAAATGCACAGGTCATGTATGATATTCATTGCTTTTTATAAGAAAATCACTTCCAGTATGTTGAAGATTTCTGGCAACACAACGCATGTATCTTTTGGTATAGATCTTACTTCCTATTAGACTTTTCCTTAAGTTTACAAGTAGACATCAGTTCTCCAGGGTGCTGACTGAACTGATGCTAAGTGCTCCTCGGGTTCTGACCCTGCCTCTTCTTGGGTCTTAGCAGACCTCCCCCCGTCCCTGCCCTTCATCTACAATCCCATCTTCCTCACCGCTACTTGGCATAACTTGCTTTCGATCCGTTGCTCTGAGCCTCAGCCTCTTCACCCCAAACAGCCACAAAATTCTGTCTTCCCTGATCAGAAATCATGCGAATGAACGTAATTCAAAATCCGTGTGCACATCGAAAGGTACAGGGTCATTCTAGCCACTAACATGTGGCTCTTCTCATGAGATGACTTAAAAGCGGAAGACCCCTTAGCAAACGTACGGTGGACGAATGAAAATGCGGCTCTTGAGAACAGATGCATCCTGGGAGCTCTTCTGCTGCTAGCATAGAATGAACGCAACAAATCCCCACAACGGCTTCTGTTGGCTCCACCACCATTTGTCATAGTTTTGCCAACTTGACACAAACAGAGACAGACATGCCCAGGAAGAGGAAATCTCAATCCAGAAATTTCTTCTATCAGACTAACATCAGGGTATGTCTGTAGCAGCATTTTCTTGATTGTTAATTGATGTGGGATGGCCCCGGCCCACTGTGGACAATGTCATCCCTGAGCAGGTGGAGCTGGGCTGTATAAGAAAATTAGGGGCACAAGTCAGAGGAGTCAAGCCGAGCAGCGCTCCTCCACGATCTCTGTTTGGGTTCCTGCCTTCGAGTTCCTGCCTTAGTTCCTGCCTGCCTTCCCTCAGTGATGGACTGTGATCTGGGAGTTTGAATTTGAAATTAATCTTTTCCTCCCCAAGTTGCTTCTGGAAATGGTGTCTATTACAGCAATAGAAAGCAAACTACAACATTAGGTTGTAAATCGAGTGATTCCCTCATGTGTTCTTATCCATGTGACTGGCAGTGGGTAAAGCCAGAATTCCAAATCAGCTCTCCTGGTCATTTGATTAAATTGATGAATTGATGGTTCTCCTTCTGTAGGGGAGAGAGGCTAGAAAGTTCAGCCAGTCTCCTTGTGCCCAGCTATAAAGGAGACCTATTGGATGAGATGACTTGCCATCCCCTTCCTGTTATATTTGTGTTTGTCTGACCTGTCTCACAGGTCAGTGCTCACGTTTAGACTTTGAACTATCTAAGAAATTTTCAGAAACTATTTTACTTTTTGGTATCTCTTATTTAAAACTGCTTTGACTAGAGCAGAAGTCTTCCCAGGACTCTACTTAAAGCATACTGTACCTGGGGTCCTTTGTCTCCTGGCAGTCCCGAAGGGCCCTAAGAAGCAAACAAACAAATTAGCAAGCAAAATAAGAATGCTCCTTCAACTATGCTGTGGTGAGGCTTTAACAAAAAACAAAACAAAACAAAACAGGGTCTCATTTGGCCCAGGTTTGTCTCAAACTCACTATGTGGCAAGGATAACTGAACTCATGATCTATCTGCCTCCATTTTCTAAGTTCTGGGATCAAGACATGTGCCCCAAGCTCTGTTTGTAGTGCTTATTTCTAAGACCAATCCCCTGCATTTACTCTTGACCTATCCTCACTCCCACATGGCTCCTGGGACCTGGCACCCCTGCATAACTCTGGTGTGCCCAGCAGTTCCCAGGTTACAACTCCTTGGAGAGATGCTGGCTCTTTTCAGGGCAGGCAGGAAGATGCCAAGGTCAGAACTGAATGCACTAATGTGTAACTCTCAGGTTTTGATAACAGATGTATCTGTGCCCTGAACCTTGGCTCCCAGACTGGTGCTTTCCCATGGAAAACTGTCTTGCCTTGGTGCCTCGACATACCCTGTCACACTTGAGGAAGCCTTGCAAAGTGGAATTAGTCTCACCCATTTCCTCAGCTCAACATGCCCTGTATCTTGTTGCAGCAGAGCCCAGGAGAACATGGCAGATATTATATTCCCAAGAGGAAGAAAGGATTCCACACAAAGGCCAAGGTCCCTGCATTGTGATAAGGTACCTAAACGTTTATTGCCTATGCCCCAGAACTGCCAGATGAAATGCAGCACTGTTTCAAGCACTTAATTGGAACAGTGAGAGAAGAGGAAAGAAACGACAGAGATCTAAGGAAAGGTACCAGAGAAGAAGAGAGGACAGTGGGGCCTGCCTGAAGCAGAGAAGGGCTCTCGGACCAAAATGCTGAAACTCATAAAACCAGGTAATGGGAGGACATTTGATGGGTCAGAACAGGGCTTCATGAGCTTTTTCTGTAGACACTACCATAGACTTTGCATGACAGAGCCTCCATTACTTCACTCTGCCGCTGAGTAGAGAGTGAGAGATGAACTTTAGAGACACAAGCATTTCTACACTGCTTCCTGTATGTGGATCACTGGGATCCAATCCTAAGTGAGCAATTATTCCTCTATACAGAAGTAGTGCAGCTAATAAAAACAATTAATGGACCATGGATAGCTTCAATTAGCCATAGACGATTTCTTATTATGTACCCCTCAGACTTGTCTCACTCAGTAGGTGATCAAAATGTCCATACGCAGAGAAGACAGGTTAGGTGATAGATGAATTGTGTCAATCGGGAGAAAGCACCAGGACACAGATAAAACTCTGGCGAGATAGAGTTTATTGGCAGGGGAAATTCACACGGGACAATTCCGTTTGTGGTAAGGAAATTGTCAGCCCATGGGCTGTGGGCTGGGGTTTTTATAAGGGGGTTTTGGAGGATGCA